TCAAATTCAGATATTGGGGAATTTTAGGCAGCAAGAGGGAAAGAAAAAAAAAAAAAAAAAATGATTAAATTACTTGGAAACAGGGGGGCCCTGTGTTTACCAAAGAGTCGTAGCAGATGAGGTGCACCGTAGACCTGGGACATGGGAGCGTCCGGATGATCTGCTAAGATTTCAGCATACTGGGGCCTCTCAAATTTGTACAGCAGTTGAGTTCCCAGCATTACATTGAAGTACTCCTTAATCCCAGCAACAACTTCATTAACAGCATATTCTCTGATAACAAAAAGACACATGGAATATTAACATTTTTCGGTTGGCTTACTGTGTTTTTGTCCTTTTATACATAGTCACAAGAACTGAGAGAGTTGGCCACATGACTCTTAACCCCACTGAAGAGCCCAGGCAAGATTTCATTAAAAAATATATTTTTTAATGGTATATTACACATGTGCACACAAGAAAAACCCTTGTTATTTCTAGCGTCTTTTTAAAAATGCACTGTTCTGGCCCTATATAGAGAGACATAGGAAGCAAAATTTCAACACAAGGAAAAAGAGGCCAGTAGCAAGCTTCACACTCCAAGGCAATGTTTCACCAAATGCTTTAAAAAACACAAAAGTAGTACTGAAACCAAGATGGAAAAGCACTTCAAAGAAGTCTTCAAGTGTACAGCTGTCATTTCTATTCCACTCATTTTTACCAAGATCAGTAATAATCTACAATGGAATTGAGCCAGAGTTGGGTGTGGCAGTTCAAGAAGCACCAGTACTTTATAACGGAAGAGCAAACTGACTGGAAGAGATCATAAAATAGTTCAGCTGAAGAATTCTTGCCTTAAGTTCCCTGAACACAACTCTCGTAGCCCTAGACTTTACTCCATTTCTGATTACAATGTAGTTACACAGGGACTTAGCCTTCTGTACAAAACATATTTGCTGCCTGTCTCTTAGAAATGATTCAGTCTTCACCCTATAAAACCAGGGGCGGGCAAAATGCAGCCCAGGGGCTGGATGTGGCCCGCCAG